TAAAGAAGCATTATTATTATCTATTTTTTGTAAAGTTTGAAAGAAATAAGAATAAAAGAAATAAGAATAAAAAAAAACCTTATTAAATATTATATCAATTATTTAATCATTTATTATCGTAAAGCTTAAGAGTCTAATTAATATATAAATTAATTAATTAATTAATTAATATATATTTGACTATAATATATAATATAAAAAATTGATCTAATTACCAATATAAAAATGAATTCCAGATTCGTAATTTGTTATATATGTAAAAAATAGTAATTGACATCATTGCTGTAACATATGATTTAGCGTCATAGAAAGTTATAAATAAAGAATTAGTTTTATAATACATAATATATTGTATAATAATATTTTGAAATAATAAAATAAAATACATACTGTGGCAGTAATATGTATCATGAATTTCAGAGGGCCACCATAGTGAATATTTTAAAAATAAGATTAAAATTATATTAAATAATTAATATAATTGGTTTGATTAAGTTTAGCTGTCTACAAACTTGTATTTTGCTATTAAAAAAAAAAAAAAAAGCAAATTAAAAAGTAAGAAATTAAGAAGCTGTAACGATAATAGTAAGAGAATAGAAGTATTTATATGTATCTATATATATACATATATATACATATACATACTTTTAATGAACTGTGATATTAAACTTTTTTTAAAGTTTTACTTTTCAATATCAAATACAGTTTAATTAAATATTTATTAATCTAATTATGATTGATATTAGTATATACATATAACATAATAGTACAAGCTTCAATATATAGTATATACATACGTAAGTAATTTATATATATAAACATTGACATAAAAAATACTGCAGCTCAGTATAATTTATGTATGAACGATATTGTAAGGAGAAAATAGACTCAGGTTATCGTTAAGGTAGCTTGGGTCAATTTGCTAGAATAGATTAGATCTGAATAAATTATATATAGAAAAAAAATAGATATAGTGTAAATATATTAGTAGATAGTAACAAAAATTTGTATAAAGACTTAATATTTATCTTGAATAAAGATAACTAATAATACTTAACAAGTTCCAATTTAAGTATTTTCTAATAATATGTAATCTAGAGCTTTAAGACTAATTATTTGATATATATATATATAGTATTAAAGATTTAATAGCGATAGTATTTGAATAGATAGTTGATATGCAGATCTTTTATCTAAAATAGGTTTTCTATATTCATCGAGATATTAGCTGTATAATATATTCAAAGTAAAAGAAAATATTTAATAAAGGCTTTTCACTCTTGAGGAAGACATCCTTCGTGATTCAAATAAACCTATCTTCTATTAATTACTTACACTATAATTAAATACATCCTAATCTACTGCTTAAGAATATAAATAATATAAATTATTATTCTTGTTCTCTTGTTCATGTAATAATGATAAAGTGTACTGTTACTCTGTTTGGCTAATTCTCAACATACTGAGGACTACTGTGGTTGTTGTTTTCCAATTCTTTCAACATACCAAGAATAGTTGTAGTAATTGTTTTGTCTAGTTCTTTCAACATACTGAGGATAGTTGTAGTAATTGTTTTGTCTGGTTTTTCCAACGTACCGACGATAGTTGTAGTAATTGTTTTGTCTGGTTCTTCTAACATACTGAGAATAGTTGTAGTAATTGTTTTGTCTGGTTCTTCCAACATACTGAGAATAGTTGTAGTAATTGTTTTGTATGGTTCTTCCAACATATTGAGAATAGTTGTAGTAATTGTTTTGTCTGGTTCTTCCAATACACCGAGAATAGTTATTTTTGACCAGTTTGAAGTCCAAGTTTCTTGATACAGGTAAAGAAGACAGACCTATGGCTATATTCACCCTTGCCCAAATATAACTGCCTCTTTTATCTATAGGTATATAATGTTCTAGTTTGTAGAGTGACTGACTCGCCATACTGACTCGCAATTTACTAGTATCACTATATTTGACATAACAGTACCAGAACCAGTTTTTGCTGTTATAATATATGAAAATACTTAATATTTTTAATATTTAGCAAATTAATAAAATATAGAAAGCAGAAAATATAAAGTAAAGAGAGAAAAATAAGAGCTAAAAAAAAATAATAATAAAGAAATATTAGATTTGGTGAACTACGAATTCGTAATTCACTAAATAGGAAGTAAGGATTAAATATATAAAATTTAGTGAAATCTAAGTTCAAATTAAAAAAAAAAGTATAACACTTCTATGTAAATATAAGATAAAGAAAGAAACTTTGAAAGAGAGTAGTGATGTTAAAATTAGTGCTAAATTTCTTTTATATAAAATAATAAATTTACTGATTAACTGTATGATTATATCGTTATGATATATTACATGCATATTTCACTTGACATTCAATGGTTAAAAATAATTAATTAAATTTCTAAATAGTAATAGGGATGCAAAATATAGATTATACAGTATACGGAAAATAATTAATTAAATTTCTAAATAGTAATAGAGATGCAAAATATAGATTATACAGTATATGGATTGAAACAAATAAATACTAGATACTATTTTAATATGCTGATAATAGAAGTTTTTATCAATGAAATTCAAGTTCTTTAAATTTAGACTATATAAAATATTTAGATAAATTCATAAGGCAGGATATATTC